GATTACAGTATTGAACTCGGATCTTGGAGACACAGCAAATGCATAGGGAGAAGGTGAAGAAGAGAGAACAGAGGGAGGAGTTTTGAGAGCAGGAAAAAGAAACTGTAGTCATCCACTTAAACTGATCATGCAGTTACCCACTTAACTACACATTTTTTTTAAAAGAGAAAAACTGCCTCCTCCGTAACTGTTCCATCCTTTTTGCAAATCATATAAAAAGGAAAAAATTACAATCAGAGACCCACAAGTTTTGCTATTCTCATCAGGACCCCAAATGATAATTGGGCTTGGGTCCAATCCACCAAGGGTGGACTGGCCCATTTTCTTACACCTCCCTTACCAAATCTTTCGACAACCAAAGAGAAAGAAGGAACAAAGGCAGCTCTTTAATCCTAAAAACACAATCTAGCTGAAAGGAAAAAATTTCGAGCTTACCCACAACTCAATCCACCGAAGGTACAATGTTGAGTGGGATTTGAGGGAGGCCTGCAACTTTCTAGTTTCGATTCTACCTTCTATGAATGCCAGTAGCGAAGGCCAAGCAGGACATGGTGAGGTTGAGGGAGACTTGCGAGCTCAAAGCCTCAGACTTGGGATGCGATTGTGAGGGGAATCAAGGGAGGGAAGGGAAATGAGGATACTTGACAGGAAAAGAGAAGAAGTGTTTTTTTTTTATAAAAATGGTGTCGTTTGAGATTTCTGGTAAGTAAAAAAAATATAAACTGGGTAACCCACCGAACCGAGGTTACCCAGTTTAATACTAGTTTTTTTTCGGTTAAATCGGTTTTTTATCGGTTCAGTAGACCACCAGTCCAATAATTAAACTAGATCAAACTACAGACAGATTCACTGGTTTTTTGGTTGAACCGGCCGGTCAGATCCACTCCGGTTTTTTTTTCCTTGGTTTTCCCCTTCAAGCATAGCTTGTCTTTGTTACCAAAAAAAAAAAAAAGGAAACAATGAATCGACATGGAAATAAAACAATAACTTCCCACCATAAACAAGAAGGATAAACATTTAACTGCAAGCCATGCCAACGTATTTTTTCCCAAAAAAACAATTACATGTATTTGAAATTTGCAGGAATTATTTGTTTATTACTTGCTAAAGATGATACTACCCCTCTATCTTCGATCTTTAACATAAAAGTTAGATAACTAATTTATAGATACTAAAAAAATTAGTTATTTATAACAAATTTATTTTTGTTTTCTTAAATTACCCTCTTAAATCATTTGCATTGAAACTAGCCCTAGCCCTTCATACAAACTTTCTTGACACGTGCAATTAATAAGAATAGTTCAGGAAAATAATAATAAATATGAAAAATAAAGTAAATTGAGATATTATATTCAAAATGTAACCCCAACCAGCTCTATCAAATAAGAAAAATTATTGGACAGTCATGCATAAGTAACTTAAATTATTACTAATTCTCATAACATGTAAGTAACATGCAATAACTAGTGAGGAAATAATAATATATGCTTATTTTTTACTTGTTATGCATGCATATTACTTGCTTGTTATAATTTTTTTTTTTTATGATTAGATTGCTCACGTAGGGCTATACAATAATTTTTCTTAATTTTTTTATTAAAACCGAAGGCGTTGTTTGTGTTTAAAAACCTCATGGGGCCAATATTACATTTACTCATTTGATTAGTTCAATAAATATAAGCAATATCCTAACCAGCATAAAAATTGTTTACAAAGGAAAAGTTTTAAATAAAAATCTAGAATTGAAATTCATACAAGATGTTTCAGTGGTGCTGGCCAAATAAAAGTGCTAATTGCTTGGTTTGTTTTTTAACTCCACCACTACACTCAGAAAATTGTATCCCATTTTTATTAAAAAAATCCGAAAATTAAATAAAGCTTTTTTTTTTCTAGGTATAATATAATAAAGCAAATCAAATAAATATATATTTTTTTGATAAATAGAATTTTGGTCAAAATAATTTTGAATAGCTCCAAACATTAAATAATATTCAATAATACAATACACATTTTTTTTGGCCAACAAACATACAATACATATACAAGCATTATTTTGTACGATGTCATATCAAATATTTTATAATATTACCTCCCATCATTAATATAAAATTTTATTTGACTTTTATGTTTTTATAAATATAAAACCCTAATTCACACTGTCTCTCATATTTTATCTATCTTTTTTCAAAATAGTCCTTATAATAATAGTAGTTCTAACCAATACACTTGATCATCAATGATATTTTATAAAAGAAAACCTATATTTATTACAAATAAGTAAATAACTAACTCAACTATCTTTTTTAATCTATTCAAATTAGTCCATTAACTCTGATATTAACGACCAAGATAGTATAATAACTTTACCAATTGTTACTCTCTGTGATGTTACAAACTAATCTTAAAATTTTAGGAGGCAAGTACGTGCATCAAATATATAAAATCATGAAAAATTAATAATAAAAAATGTGGTTTTAAAAAAGTATTTTTAAATTCAAAATTTAGAAATGTAAAATAAAAATCCTGGAAATGAATTTGTAGCTGAAATAGTGAAATATCAGCATTGTCCACTTGGGATTAAGAATATGTTTTGATCACCGTTTGGAGGAGGAAAAGCGTCTAGGAACATGTATAACGGCGGTTTGGAGCTTTTTAAAAGTAAATTGGGTGTTTGGATGACCTTAAAATGTAACCAACTTTTGGAGGAAACTGCAGACGCGTTGAGTCGTTCTGAATAGCTGCGTTGGGTGCGTTAAGAAGCTCATTTACCATTAAAATAGCATTTAATATGCTAATTTAAAAATGCCCCTACCAGATTTGCCCTTTACCCTCACTCCTCTCTCTCTCTTCTTTCACTCTTCTCCCTCACACTGAATAGCTCCCATTTTCTCTCTGTCGTTGCGTCGCGGGTCTTCTCCCATGCGTTAGTTTTTCTTTGATTTTGGGCTACTCCCCTTTTGTACCCAAAAAAATAAACTTTATACTCATTTCATATCTAAGCATATATATTTGAAGTTAAACGAAATGGATTGTATTTATGACTCAATTAGATACCAAATTATACAAAGCTAACAATCCAACTAGTTATATGGTATTATTTAGTTCAAGAAATTTTAATTTTAAAGAATTTTAATTTATACTCATATTTATCCATTAAATATATTTTTTTGCAAAAAAATATATTTAATTATCTATCATGTATGTTCAAATTCCTCTCACTAACAAATATTTTATTTTATAATTTTAATTTTAATTATTTTTTTAACAATTATCACATTAATATCATATAATATAAAACACTAATATTCAATAAAATTTATGGTCTTTTCAATCATTTTACATCTAAACTTAATTTTTTATTAATCATCTAAATAAGTTTTAACTTTTTTAATTGACCTTTTATAAACATCAATCTAAACATAAATCATATTATACTAACTGACTTTTATTCTAACTTCAGTTTGCAAAAGTCAATTATAATAAAAGTCAGTTTTACTACCGCTAATCTAAACACACCCTAAATTGTCAAACCAACCACCAGACTCACATACTGCTGCAAGTCAATGTAAGTCATCCCCATTACAGGCCCAAAAATAGACATTTATCCTAAATACAGCCCCTTTTTTTGTGATAAAAATAAGATCTACATAACTCCTTTCCTAAAATAATATAGATATAACCTGCTCAAACAGGTTTCTCTTTACATATAGAGCTCACAAGTTATCTTGTATAATGTCATATCAAATATTTCACATCTTCATAGTATAAAAATTTCACCAGGTCTTTTATTCTTCATAGTGTGACAAACTAACCTTAAAATTTTAGGATGGAGATATATAAATATATATATATATATATAAATATAATCATGAATATATGTTCAGCAGATTCGGAAAAGTAAAATTCAAAATTAAAAGGATGTCCTTTGCTACCTGGTCATAATCGTGTATTACTAGGCCTTGAGCCACTCATCAAAAAGCAGTCAATCGAATACCATTAATATAATGCATGGCTGAATGAAGCACAACCACTTATTGAAGAAAATCAGCAAACTAGCAAAGGAAATGTTTATTGAATCACAACATAAAATGCCTATCGGCAGAACACAAATCATAAAACAAAGTGATGGCAACAAACTTTGCCATTCATTCCAATTAATACAGCTAAGAATTAAAAAAAATTAAAAAACAAAATGCTGATATCACTGCAAGATAAAGCCACAAAAGACGTCTCCAAACTTAATGCTGCCCAATCTCCTAGTAAATCTGAAAACTATAACAGTAAACGACTAAAGAAGATGGTGGAAAACACTGCCATTAACAGAGAAACAAACATTTTCGTGACTCTATACTACTATTTATATGTGCTTTAGCCTCACTAAGTATCCTGCTATGTATATTTCATATGTCTTTTACAAACATCAATTGCAGCGATCAGGAATGGTTAACAATTACTTTCCCATCCTCTTGTAAAATTCTAACTTCCAGTATCATTAATAAAGAAGAAACTTGAGCTATCCCTGATAAAGAATAAATATAAGACGAGGATATTCATCAACAAGACACTAAAATCTATGACCGTTTCACCACAAAAAAATTTATATTTGGGCATTTAACTTTCATAATACTTCCTCACCATATCTTGCTTCTTCAAAGAAAGATATGCAATTTCCTCTACATTTTTTAACAAAAATTAGGAAGAAAATAGAAAGGAAATGACAACACTAGGGGTATTGCAAGCCGGACATTCTCTTGTTCCCATAGAAAGAAAAAGTACACCGCCAATGGAAACATATGATACTTGACCACATATTAACAGTTATGATACTTGACCACATATTAACAGTACATAAAAAGACAAATACCCATCAAACCATATTCATGCCAAACAAGTCAATTACCTGGGTAAATTCACAATACAAGCTTTTGCTAACCGCTCATGGTAGTTAACATGAATATTTGTGGCAAATGAATTTGAGGTGCAGTAGATCTCACCTTGTTTTATTTCTTCAGCACGCCTCTATCAATAATTCTACTAAGAACCTTAACTTCCTTGTCATTCTCATTGTTTTCAAGAAGATATCGAATAATAATGTTGAAAGTTATGGAATCAGGAAGGCAATTGTTCTCTTCCATTCTATCAAGCAAGGCCACGGCTTCATCAAGAAAACCCTCTTTGCAAAGTCCATGAATCATGGCAGTATAGGTGCGCACATTTAGTTGATAATCTTCAGCCAAAGATACTGAAAAGTGTCCCACGCATCATTTAATCTACCACCTTTGCACAAACCATCGACAAGTATATATAGGTGCTCATAAGAGCCAAAATCCTTGATTGACAATTTGCCTAAATAATGTAATTGCTTGTCAATATGTCCCATTTTGCAAAATGCATCTAACAAGATGTTATACGTGATTACGTTAGGGTGAAGGCCCCTATCATGCATCTCATAAATAATATACTGCGTGCATGAGATTCTTTGTGATTTAAGCAAGCCATCAATAATTAAGTTACAATACTAGGAACCAAATTTCTGGAATGCATTTCCTTAAAAAGATCCATCGCTTCATCCACCATTTTCATCTTAAAGCATGTGTTGATCAAAATGTGATAACTAATAATGTGAGGTGCCAAACCATTTTCAACCATCTTGTTAAAAACTTTCTTAGCCTCAATGATATTATTGGTCAAACAATGTCCATCAATCAAAGCATTATATGTAACAAAATCAGGTCTCTGATCACTCTTCACCATCCTAGCAAATACAGCTTGAGCTTGTACAATCCTTCCGTCTTTACATAATGCATCAACAATGATGTTGAAGGTATAAACATCTAGTTGTATGCCTTTCGATATCATTTCATTGAGTAATTGATTTGCTTGCTGCCATTGATCCATCCGACAAAAGCCATGGATTAGATTATTATAAGTAACAACATTTGGAGGTACCCCATGATCAGTCATTTCAAAAGACAGATTGTGTGCATCATTAACAAGTCCTTCTTTACAAAGCGCATGAATGATTGTGCTGTATATAACTATATTGGGCTTAACAAGGCGTCTCCTCATTACTTTAAGCAATTTAAGAGCAGATGTTGTTTTCCCCATTTTACACAGCCCATTTGCTAATGTTCCATAACTAACTTCATCTAACTTCAATCCTTTTGAAGTTATTTCATCGTAGAAATCTAGAGCTTTGCCAACATTTTGATTAAAACAGAGTCCTTTTATAGTGTAGTCAAAACTACAGCGGCTGGTTGATAGCCCATCTTGAAAATTTTCCTGAGTGTAGAGAAAGCAAAATCCATCTGACTAACGTGGCACTAACAATTGATCAAGATGCTCAGGTTACATAAATCTGGCGCGAAGCCCTTCAACTCGGCTTGTGCTAAAAGTGAGATAACCTGGGGATAATGTTTCATCTTCACTATAGACCCTAAAATCTTATTGATATGGCTTCTAGAGGGAGGGGGCCACATGTGGAGCAGGCGAGTGACTGTATCAACAGCGTCGCTGATGTTGTTGGGTTTTGGGGAGTGGGAATGAAGATAATATTTGCGAGTGAGGGAACAAGAGAAAGAGTGAAGGAAGTTATAAGTAGCAAAGACAGGAAATTTGGTGGAGGAGGAGTACCTTGCAGCAGCTGAAGAAAGCATATTTGGGATCAGATTGGAGGAGGAGTATCTGCAATGCCTCAATGCTTCTTCAGTTCACCGAATGGCAAAACGCACAAAGCTTTGCCCAATAAATCAAATCGAAGCCTGAGAGGAGGGTGAAGCCGAAGCATAATGGAAGAAACAGAAACTGAGGTAGTGAGTTGGGCCTCTCTCATTAGCGGGGGGAAACAATAGGCAGGCTGCAGGCCTTCGTATTTGGATAGTCCATTTATTTTGTTTATTATTTTTAAAAAAATTGCCAAGATAGTCCGTTTAATCGTTAATGTGGGTGCTCATTCGTCAACAAATACAAACAAAATATTATGATTTTGCTAAAAATTATATATTTATTTGTTTTACTCCGAGGAGTGATTGGATGCTGAGAATAAAGATAATTGCATGATCTTTATATGAAATAATAACGTTAATTTTTTTTAGCTGTTTTTCAATAAAACTATTTTCTATATTATTTTATTTTAAAATGTTTAATTCAAACATCAAAACTTATGATTTAGGCATGTGGTTCTAATGTAATATAATATTGAATCAATCAAGTATCATTAACATAATGCATGGGTGCATGCCATCATATGTTTTAATTTCCATACAGTAAATAAAAATTCATTTGGCTGGCCAAAAACATCTACTAATTTTGTTTCAATGATGTGAATACTGTCTTTGTCGAATCTTCTACAGGGAACCAAATTCTGTCTTGGAAGAATACCGCCTACACCAAATCAGCAGCTGAGAGAGCAGAAAAGAATGAAGTACAAACTCCTCACAACTTTTTGAATTGCTTTTTATTCATCAAAGAATTAACATGAATTGCTTGAAACAATGCGTAAGGAACCAAGTTCTGTTTCACAAGGATCCTGACTACACATCAAAAAATTAGTATAGAATGGGCTACAGTACTGGCAAAGGAAATACTTATCCAATTCAAGGAGGCAAAGCACAAATCATAAACCAAGTGATGGTAAAGATATTTGAATCAGCTAAGAATGGGGGAAAAACAAAGATTCCCAAGGTTAATGCGGACCAATTGCAAGTAAATCACAAAAGTGAGACGGTAGAGGACTAGAGAAGACGGCAAAAAGAACACGCCATTAATTAGAAACATACATTTTCATGAGTCTATATAATACCATGTACCCTTTCGGTTCTTAATATAAGAGTTAATTAATTAATTTGAGTAGACTAAGAATATTAGCTAAATGAATAGGATTAATTTTATGTGAATTTATAATTAAATGTTATTAGATACTAATATTTTAAAAATAGGATACATGGTATTATGTGACTGAAGAATTTGATAGAATGGTTATAAAGAACTTAACATAAGTATCATCTAATATGATAGTAGTATCAAATAAGATAAATTTTATAAAAACTTACAGTGCATCATGATATAACTTAGGCTTGACAATACTTTTACACCCCACCACAGAACATTTTTTTTATCTACAGTCTAAAGGAAATAGTAAAAATGGCATGAAAACAAAAAATAATTTCCCACCATAAACAAGAGGGGTAAATCCCACCATAAACAAGAGGGGTATAAATTTTGTTGCAAGCCAAGGCAACATATTTTTCTTAACCAAAAAAAAGAGACAATAACATGTATAGTCATACATAAGTAATAATTCAATAATTAAATAATCTTATAATAAATGCGGGGCATACAATAGCAAGTTCGCTTGCTTGTTGTAAGGTCTTTTAATAATTAGATTGCTTACATAGAACTACACAATAATCTGTCCTATTTTCATTTTGAACCGAATGTGTTGTTTGTGTTAGAAATCCTCATGGGGTCAGTATTCCATTTACTCATTTAATGGTGCAATAATTAAGGTCACGTTCGGTACAAAGCAACATTAAAAATAAGATATATGGATTGCGATTATAATTAAAAAAATCATTAAAATAGTATTTAGCATGAATAATTATTTGTTACATGGATTAGACAAATCTATAAGGTGGGATTGGGGAATACCACTTCCCTCTCATAGTATTCCCGAATCTTGATACATAAGTTTGACTAATCTCATATGATAAGCAATCTCTTATACTAAATACTCTTTTAATAAGATTTTCTCAATTCCATTCCAATCCTTATACCTAATTTTTAATACTTCCTACCAACACAAACCCAAGGGTAATATCCTAACTAGTATAAAAAAATGTTTTTTCCAAAGAAAATTTTAAAATAAAAATCTAGAATTGAAATGGCCAAATAAAAGCATTAATGACAATGCTATCCTTCAGACCCCACTCTCCATGTATTCACTACAAAAAAAAAACTTTAGGCGATGATGAAAGTATAATCTAATAATATATATTTTATTTTACAATAACAATAACAAAATCAAGCCAGCTCAGCAGCAAGAAGATGGACACAGAAGGTAGTCACGAGTTTAACCTTAAAAAAGATATATTTAAGGTGAAAATATTTGGGCACTAATGTGGCAGGAAGGGGTGATGGGCAATGACGTGAGGTGGCTAGTGATGACGTGGCATCCGGTCGGTGATGATGTGGTGACTAGGAGTGATGAGGTGGAGGTGGCCAGTGATGACATGGCATCATTAAAGCCAATTTTTCCTAGGCATCACTTTTCAGTGGCGACAAAAAAAGTCACCACTAAAAGTCTCTTTTAGTGGCGACTTTTTTTGTCACTGCTGAAAGTTTTCAACTACAGTCGCTACGTACGGCAACGACTTTTCAGCGGTGACTTTTGTCGCCGCTGAAAGTCAATTTTTTTGTAGTGATTGGGTGGTAATGCATCAGGTTCTTATAAAGTTAAAGATGGGGTGGTTCTTCTTCTCAATCTTTGAATCATGATGTTATGGGCATCGATGAATTCTGGGGATTCCTTTGGGAAATCTAGCTGCCATTTAAAAACTGTTCCATTTAGAAACTTTTACATAATGCCTTATCCTCTTGGGATATTTTAAAGAAACATCACTTGAACTCTTCTAGACTTTGTCTCTTTGGATGTGAAGTTGAAGAATCTTTAGAGAATTTATTTATGTCAAACGTCCCCTCTTTAGTTTGGATGCTTTCTTATCCAAATTCCCCAGGTAAACTTCCAAAATTTAAAGTATAGTTAAAGGAAACACTTGTTCATCTTCATCAAGATGGCTTTCCTTCTCTGGTTTCTGGAATTATTTGTTTGCTTTATACAACATGGAACAAGCACAATTATGTTTTGCATCATGGAAAATATGACTCTCCAATCTCCATCATTTAAGAAATTCACAATGCCCAATATTTCTCAACTTTAGCCTTCAAGGATTTTTTGAAGGAAAATTTTAAAATAAAAAAGAAAAATCGAAACGGCCAAATAAAAATGTTGATTGCTCAATTTTTTTTCAACTCCACTAAGAAAATGAATCCCATTTTCATTAAAAAGTATCACCCTCAAATTAAATAAATTTTTTTTCTAAGTATAATGTAATAAAAACTAATTAAATAAACATATGATGTTTTTCAATAAATGGTATTTTGGTCAAAACAATCTTGTATAGCTCCAAAACATGAAATAATGTTCTGTGATACAATACACATACAGGCATTATTTTGCACAATGAGTCAATGACAACAAATATTTCATATTTTCACAGTATAATAATAACTCTACCCAGTTTTTATTCTTCTCGATGTGACAATTAATCTCAATTTTAGGATGTAGATTCGGGCGATAAATATATAAAATCATACATATGTGACCGGTTGTGAGAGAATGAATTGACTTGAATTATATTAATGGAAAAATCATACACACACACACGACAAGTTCATCAGAAAGTGTACATATAATATAATAACAAAATTAGTTTTAAATAACAGAAATGTTAATCTGTAACTTCACACTCCCCACAAGCTTGAGCATGAATATTTTTCATGCCAAGCTTGGAAATAAGATCATGGAAACGTGAGTGATAAAGAGGTTTAGTGAAGACATCAGCTAGCTGATCTGCAAAACGCACTGGTAGAAGATGGATAATTTTGGCTTGAAGCTTCTCACGAACAATATGACAATCAAGTTCAATGTGCTTGGTTCTCTCATGATAAGTAGGATTAGCAGCAATTTGTAAGGCTGACTAGTTGTCACAGTAGATAAAGGAAGGATCAAAATGAGAGATACTAAAATCCTTTAACAAGTATAAAAGCCATTGAACTTCACATGTGGTGGATGCCATTGCACGATACTCAGCCTCTAAAGAAGAACGAGAAACGGTTGGCTGCTTCTTTGCTTTCCAAGAGATGAGAGAAGAACCAAGGAATATAGCATAGTCGGTTACAAATCGACAGCTATCAACACAGCTTGCCCAATCAGAGTCACTAAAAGCTTTAAGGCCCCGTTTGGGTAACACCCCAAACCATGGTTTGGGTGATAAGTCACCCAAACACCCACTGGTTTTGGGCAAACCGTGGTTTTGGACCAAAACCATGGTTTTTGGAAAAAGCAGAAATTTTTTGCTTTTGGAGAAAAAAAGGGAGAGTGTGAGAGCTTATAGGATATGTATCTTGTTATTTTTTTTATAAACATATTTAATCTTATATTTTAAAAATATATACATATTAATTATTTATTAATTATATTATCTTATGTATTATTAATTATGTTAATAAAAATATATTATTAACAATTTTATTCCTTCAAATTAAAATATATCATAAAATCTATTTTTTCTGTAATTATCATATTAACTTATGTCTTTTTTTTTTAGTAATTTGTATATATAAAAAGTGCTTCTGATAACAACTATCCAAACACTCTCACTTCTCAAAATCACTTTTTCATAACATTTATTCTTTCCAGAATCTATTCTTCCCAGAATCTATTCTCCAGAATCACTTTTCCAAACCACGGTTTGGTTTCATCCAAACACACACCTAAGTCCAAGATCAGTTTAGAGGAGAGAAATAACCTAGCACCTGGAGAAGACTTAATATATCTCAAAACTCTATGAGAAGCTTGCAAATGTGTATCCCTGGG